GAAGTTTGCACTCTAAGATTTTCACAGGTGTGTTCTTCCCCATCAAAGTGAATGGAGGTGCGGGACATAAAATACACTTGTTTGTAACTGGAAGCAATCACAAGTCTCAGTATATGACAGGTAACCTCCCAAAGAGAAACCCATCTGCAGGTACTCATTCAGCTGTCTGCTTCTCTGCATTACAGATTTTGTTATTCATGTATATGAAGTATACTGATTTTTGTATGTCAATTTTGTATTCTGCAAATTTACTAAACTTAGTAGTTTTCTAGTAGTATTTTTTCAATCTTCTTTAAGTTTTTTTTTCACACAAGGTCATGATGTGCTTCTTCCTTTCTGATTTGTATACATTTCAGTTATTTTTCTTTTTCTCACTCAGTTACTCTGGCTGCTACTTCTAGTGCAATGCTGAGTAGAAGTGACAAGACTGAATATTCCTGGCTTGTACCAGGTCACTGAGGATTCCCCATTGATTAGGCTCCTAGTTGTGGGCTTTTTTTTTCTTTTGACTTGTTTTCTGCACTTACTTTTTTGAGAGTTTTAAAAACCAGCCGTAGATGTTGAACTTTATCAACTTTATGAAATGCATTTTTAAATCTATTGAGATGATCATGTGATTTTTATGTTTTATTCTCTTAATATTGAATTGCAGTGATTGCTTTGGGTGTGTCAAACCAATATGGCATCCCAAGGATTAATCCTGCTTGGTAAATATTGATATATAATGTGTGCATGTGTTTTGGGACTTGGTTTTATAGTATTTTATCAAATGTCTTTATATCTGTATTCATCCGAGATATTGAGCTCTAGTTTATTCCTTCTGGTGTCTCTGGCTTTAGTGTTAGGCTGATACTGGCTTCATAAAATGAGTTTGGAAGTATTCCTTCTACTTCTATTTTTTGGAGGCATTTCAAAATGATTGGAATTGACTTTTTTTTCAAATGTTTGGTAGAATTCAGTAGTGAAGCCATCTGGTCCTGGGCTTTTTTTCTGTTATTATTGTGGTGAGATTTGTTTTTAAATTGCTTCCTCAATTTCCTTGCTGTTGTTTGTTCAGATTTCTTTTCCTTGATTTGGTCTTGGTAGGTTGTGTGTTCTAGGAATGAATCCATTCCTTCTATGCTATAAATTTCCTGGCACATAATTGCTCATGGTAAACCCTTATGATTCTTTTTATTTCTGAGGCAACTGCTAATACTGGCCTCTCATTTTTGATTTTATTTATCTGAGTCTTCTCTTTGTTTTCCTTATTCTAAGAAAAAAAGTTCATTTATTTGGTTGTTTTCCAAATAGAGCCTTCTAGTTTAGTTTGTTTTTATTTGCTGATGCTCATAAAACTTACATAACAATACCAATGTTATCTGGTTGATCCTACTTCTGGATCTGCTTTTGGCCCATGTTCCCCTTTTATAGAAACAGGACACCAACAACTCTGAGGACAAATTATGTCAAGGCATACAAAGTAAGGCAAGGAGAGAGGCAAATAGCATATAATGGAAATGAAAAGCTTGTCTTGAATTGGTTTTACAGTAGTATTTAGTGTCAGAGAAAATCACACAAGAAATGACACTTTCCTCAAATACAAATGCTCCCAGGAGCCCACACACAGGACAACAAATGAAGGGTCTGCTTTTCTTGCGAAGCAAAATGGAGCTTTCCTCTCTCCCTCCTCCTCTTTCCTCCCTCCTCCTCCTTCCTTCCTTCCTTCCTTCCTTCCTTCCTTCCTTCCTTCCTTTCTTCCTTCCTTCCTTCCCCTTCTTCCTTCTCTGCCTCCCTCCATTCCTCCTATCTTCCTTCTTCCCTTTCCCTTTTGTTTCCTTCAGGGAGGCACCAAGGAATAAAAATAATGCACACAGCTAGCATTTTCAGAAGCACAGGCTGGTAAATAAGCACCAGCTGCACCTCAGAGCAGCCACAGGTGGGTCTGCACTGTCTGAGGTTGGAGACAGGAGAGAGCCGACAGTAGCCCTTGTCCCCATGGCACTGGAGGACCTGTCCCAAGGTGGGCACCATCCAAGGTCTCTGTTGTCCTGCGGCTGGGTGGCCTGGAATCACATTGTCCTCAAGAGTTGATTGGATCAACAGGTAGCCTGGGGTTGGCATCATTTTGACATCATTTTTTTCATGAAATTAATGACAAATTTCTTCAAATCTTGAGGGTTAAAAGAGACTAAAATGTCACATCACAAGTGTGTTTTTCTTCATACTTATTTTAACCTGTTTTTGAGAATTGTGAGCATTATGAATTTCTCCTTTTATTTGCTCAGTTATAACAACACACAAAGAGACTTCATTATGAGGATGTCTGTCATAAAGTAGAATCTAAATACACATTTTCATTCAGAGATAGTACAATTAGTAATCCCTCCGTTAAAAACTGAAAGACCTGCCCTGTTCAAACTTAACCTAGCAAAAGGTTTCGATTTAAGGACCACACAATTGGTTAAATCATTGCAAAGGAAGGACTACTAAAGTCTATTATACTAGAAAACAAATTTATTTCGATCTTAACAGTTTCTCGAGAGACCAAAGGACAGCAGCAAGAGCATTACTGAACCGTGAAATTTATTTGATCTAATTTTTTATAAATTTAGTTGCTTAAAAATGTGCTTTCTTCTGAAATTCATGGCTGAAGAGTTGGGATGAGGTGAGCACCAACGTGCTGGTTTGTATCTAGAAGTCCCCAGGCCTCAAGTGCTCACCAAGAGGTTTTCGGAAGGTGGGTTTAGAGCTGATAGGTGTGAGGAGGTGGGGCCTGGCGGAAGGGGCAGTCCCGGGGGCGTAGCTGGAAGGGTTCATCTTCCTCCCCATCTGCTCCCTTCTCGCCTCTCTTCCCTTCCTGGTTGCCCCAGGTGAGGAGCTTTCCTCTGCCAGGCGCATGGGCAGTGCCATCCTGCCTTGGAGCCAGCTGACCGTGCAAGGAATGACACTACAGGAACGTGAGTCCAATCAAATACACCTGTCCTTCCTTAAACTATGGGTTCTGGGTGTTGTATCTCAGAGGTGAGGAAAGGGGCTAAGCAGCCAAATGCCCTGGATTTGCCTGGAGCCTGAAATCGGCTTCTTTGGACTGTGCTTTAACCAGAGCCCCAGGGGACAGATCAGTTCTGAGCTGTGCACCTTGCAGCCACAGCGGTGAAGCCCGAGTCTTGGTGCAGACTTCTTCTCCTGGCCTGGAGGTGAGACGCTCTGAATCTGAACCTTTTCCTCAAGGCTTTCAAGTTTGAAATATTTTTACCTATTTTCAACTGCATCTTAAAAGTAGTCACACTTTTATCACTTCATGTTTTATTCATTGGAAACTCTACAGTTATCAGTCAAAGTTCCTGATCAACCCAGGGCCCCCAAGACTGTTGACCCTGGGTGATTTGCTTGGTTTTGCAGAGTTGGGTCAGATGCCAGGCACCAGCTCTGTGGTCTTGGAAAGTGATTTAATCTCTTGTCTCTTTCTGACTCTCGGAGTCTTGTTCTGTCTCTCACTTGTACAAAGTTCTTGTCGCTCTATGGACCTTGTTATTATAAAGGGTGCAGGGCCTGAGGATGGGCCTGCCGTGTTAGGTAGACTCTTGGAAATGGAATAAACAAGACAGCAAGAAGAGAAATCCAAGATTGATTTTGGCAACAAGTAGGCCAGCTCACACCACACATGACCCAGTCTGGGTTGGCATGAAGTTGGTGTCCCTGCCTCAGGGACATGCTGGGCACACCCAAGGATGTTATGAGCCACGAAATCATCATACCCAAGTGAAAGCACAGGGATTTACTTTCTGGAAGGGTGATCAGATCTGTGTGGGGCCATCTAGAAGCCCTTGAGGCCAAGTTGTTCATCTCAGAGTTGAGGGGCTGAGGACAGGAATGTGGAAGTCCACGGTAAGAAGCCCTGAGGTGAGTCCTAGAGGAAAATCACGGGTTCTTGTTGTAGGCATTTTATCATCTTTTGTATGAGAAGATATATAGTAATGCAGAGTGAGCAGCACGATGGTTTGGAGAGTTAATGTGGAGAATAATAGCCCTTCATATACAACACCCTTTGTATACATTCACTCTCTTCTGAGTGCTTCGTGGACATTATCTGATTCTCTACATTAAGTTACAGAAGCTTGATGTTTCCAGTGGGAAATGGAGGTCTGGGCCAGGGATGTAGCTCAGTGGTGCCGCCACCTTCCTCCCAAGCTCAAGTTCCCGACATCGATCCCCAGTACCCCCCCAAAAAGAAAAACAAAGTAGAAATGAAATGAAGTTTTAGCGAGACTGTTAGTGTTCTCCCCTTCCTTGTAGAAGGAAGAGCCCAACTTGGAAGTCCACATGGGGGCCTTAGCTGTAGATAGTTTCCAGTAGGCTAGTGCCCTACCTAATAAATAAAATAGGAGTTCAGGAAGTCATTGCCTCCTCATGTTTCCTTGCTGCACTGATCACAGGGGAGTTTTCTCCTCCTCCTTTATTGCAAAGTCACAGACATCCACACAATAATGTTGTGCAGTCACGTGACTCCCGGGAGTGATAAAGGGACTTGAACCCAAGCTTTGTGAGGCCAGAAGCTACACTGGTTTGTCACAAGTTGCTTGTGGAAAAAGAGGAACCAGATATAATACACAGACACGTCCTTTTTGTATTGATAGTGCAGAAATACTAGAACCAAATGCAATATTCAGAAATGTCCCTTTTTGTGTCAATCATGTATAAATACCAACACTTGGATATTATTATACTGGTGTTTTCATATTTAAGCAATGCATTCTTCCAGGAATGTGATATGATCAGACCATTCAGTAAATGTTGAGATTAGAGATCAGATCAGGTATCTTCAGGGTGGCATGGCCAGAAACTGAAGGTTGAAGTTAAAAAAGTTTATTGCAGTAAAAGACACATTGCCATGAATCTTTTTCAGAATCTTTCTCCTCACTTATGCCATCATTCTTTCCACTTTTTCTTTTCTTTTTGGTACTAGGGATTGAACTCAGGCCCTTGCTCTTGTGAAGCAGGCAGCGGAAGCACTGAGTCAAATCCCTGGCCCTTTTGCCACTTTTTGAAGCAGTTCTGGAAGTCCTCTTTTGTGCATCAAGTTTTTAGACACCTGTTATTTCTTTGCCCTGCTTCTTGAAAGTTCTTTCTCTCCCTCTCCTTCTTTCCTCTTTGTCCCCATTTCCTTCTCCCTGTCCATCTAGTCTCTGCCTCCTTCTCTTTTTCTTTTTCTTTTCTCTTTTAACACTTGGCCAAATGGAATAAATATCAACCAGTATAGTTAGGGACATTCAGTCCCCCTCTTCTTTCCTTAGAGCTAAGAACTGACTGTCAGCCAGTCTTTTTCTTGGGGTATTTTGACACATGGGAGTCTGATTAGAAAGTCTGCTTTTGTGTAACAATGATCCCCAACACCCCTGTTTCCTGGCCTCCAGGGCTGTGACCTTGCTGTTGACACCCTAACTGTCAGCTAGAGCCACGTGCTTTAAACTTTTTCAATATCGCAACATTGCTTCTAGAAACTGACTTCCATATTGGTCCTGGAGCTTACAGATATGGAGCTGCAGTGGTCTCGTACCAAACAAAGTCACTTTTTGATGATGTCACATTCCAGACTGGCCTGGGAGGAAGCTGTTTTTCACACATCACTTGGGCATGGTTCACATGTGGTTACAACCTCTTCACATTTTCTGAATCCCTTGTTTGTTAGGAAAGAGCCTGAATGATGGTGGAAGAGGTTGGAGATGTTTAAGAACCCAATAAGCAAAAGTAAGCATCACTTTCCTCAGTGTGCTGGTCAGATTCGGCCCACGATCCCACACTGTTTGAGGAGGAATGAAGGACAGGTAACCCAGCTGTACACACAGGAGATTGCAGAATGGGGCCGTGCATATCAGAATGCCTTTCAGAGCTGTCTCTCATGCCCTGCTTGTGGTAGATATTTAACATCAACAAGAAACCCCATAGTATGGAGGATATTTTAACACACATTTAAAAATAAGGCTAACAGAAATCACTGTGATCTGTGAGACCATCATGAAACAGAACTCACAAGGAAGGCAGCTTGATGAAAGCGGCTTAGAGAGTTGACTGTGATGTATGAAGGGTGTTCTGGAAAGTTAGATAGCTGCCATTGCAGCCCAAAGGTCACAGGTCACTCAGCCTGAAGGTCACTCAGCCTGTGCCGCAGTCCGGGGATCTGCAAAGCACGAGTTCGCTCCCTGAGCACAGCTGGATGGTCAGCTCCACCATCATCCCTCAGTCCTGGATGGAGCTGAGTGTAGGAGGGGAAGTCGCTGCTCTATTTCTGCCTCACAGGCAGAGTGGGTGGGTGGGTGGGCGGGGTGCTGTGTATGTGGCTTTCATCTCTCAGCAGATTCGAGACCCTGGGTACCTGCCAGGAGATGAGTGCTGTCATGATTCACCCAGCCAATACTTACATCACATTCTGGGTTTGCAGAAGCAGCTCCCCTTCTCTGGGTGTTCTCTCAGTGCCTTCCTAAACCACTGCTGTCAGTTGAACAATAGGACTGCAAAAGATACAAGGGTTGATGGAAATATATGGTAAAGGTTTGCATTACAGTTCACTACAGTAAAAGACACAGTCCCATTCATCCCCTCAAAATATTCTCCCATGCTCCACCCACACATCCCATCTTCCTTGCCACTTTCTGGCCACCTTCCAGTCTACTGCTATATCTCTTCAAAAAAGCTGTCTAAGGGGCAGCAACACTATTTGGGAATGACCATCTCTCATTACCCTAAGTGGGACCATCCAGTGGCAGGAAAATAAGCTCAAGGGTCTCAGTAATTTTACATTAAGGTGTGTTGAGTGATTACTTCATTGCACATTATAATGTAATAATAACAGAAATAAAGCTCACAGCACATGCAACGTGCTTGAGTCATCTGGAAACCGTCTGTCCCACCCCTGCACCCCTGTTTTGTGGAAGAATTATCTTCCACAAAATCAGGTCTCTGTTGGGGGAACAGGGAAAAGGGCAGGGAACACTGGTTTGAACACTGTCAAGGTAGCTGGTGCTCTTCTTATTCTAATGTATTTATCCAAGGACTCTGAGTGAATCAGTGGGTCCTGACTGTCCAGGCAGTAAATGTGCAAATTGTTCTCTTCCAAAATTTAAGATCTTGAAGACCATCCTTCTTGCTTCCTAGTTCTGCAATCTCAGGAAGCACAGTGTGATGCTGGGAAAATAGCACCTTAGAAAATGCTCAGAAATCAGTACATAGGGAAATGCCTCGCTTGCATGTTGTGGTTCAATCTGGGCTAATACCAGACCCAAGTTTGCTTTCCCTAAAAAACAGATAGACTTTCTGTTCACCCAAGTTTTGAATTCAGGATCTATTTACTAATGATTCAAGCTTGAGGATGTCTATGGATTTCTTTTGGCTTCAGTTTCTTTTTCTAACTGGTTAGAAGAAATTAAATGAAGTTGTATGTAAGGTGTGCTCAGAAAATGTGGCGAATGCCTAAAAGACACATTGCCATTAATGTTTCTCCAAATAGTCTCCTTTCCTTCTAACACACTCATCCCATTGTCCTTGCCATTTTTGGAAGAACCTCTGGAGTCCTCTTTCCTGAGTGTCTAAGTGGTGCTGTCCTTGCTGACTCGATGACCTGAATGGATTTAAAACATTTCCCTTTCATGGTCATTGTGACTTTGGGAAACAACCAGAAGTCATACGGTCCTAGATTCAATGAATAAGTTCAATGAGGACACACCATAATGATTTATTATTTATTTTTATTTTTTATTTTTTTGCACCAGCGATTGAACTCAGGTACTTGCATTTGTGAGGCAGACAGCAGAACCACTGTGCTAAATCCCCAGTCCTAGGGGATCTTTTTTTTTTTTTTTGTTCTTTTTTTTTTTTTTTGTGGTACTGGGCCTCTTACTCCGGCCCTTGTGCTTGTAAGGCAGGTGGCGGAATGTAATGATTTAGTTAATAGAAAGCATCCTAAACATTTTTTAATTGATTGAGGACATTGAGGCAGCCATGAAAAGACACTCATGAAAGAAAAATTCTAGAACTATTTCAGAAAGTGGCAAGAACCATGCGGTAAATTTGTTTAAAGTGAGAAGCATCCTGAGATTAATGACAATGTTCACTTTACTGTAATATTTTAATTTTTAAGTTAAAATATCCACTGTAGTTTTTTTTATACCTTATATGTAAAGCCATTAGCATTGCTACTGATTTTGTTATTGAACAATGTAGTAAGTGAAAAATACACATGAATGTCTTTTCTAACTCCTTTCCTGATCATGAAGAACTCTGTCTGTCTGTCTCTCTCTCAAAAAGCCTTTCTCTTTCATCAGGCTAACAGAGCTCACATTCCAATCTCAAGTTCAGATTACAACATACAGGATGAAAATTATTCCAAGTCAGTTATTATATGTCGCAGTTAGGTTAATGCGTAAGTACAGTTGAAATATACCACTATGAGTGCAAAGAAAACACAAAGGCCCCTCCAGATTGCATAGTGATACAGTTTTACCCAAGAGAAGCATTTCATCATTCAGCATTTTTAGCTAGGAAGGAAAGAAGCTAAATTTGTAAAGGGAACCAAGCAGATATTTCCCAACTAATAGATGAGTGAATTATGGGTTGCTCTGAATCTCTTTAGGTGAAATTAGGTGAACATTATGTAAGCTTCTGAATTTTGTGTTTAGTTGAATAACTGTTCTCACCCAACACAGAACCATTCTTCGGGGTTATCTGCTATTTGTTTTTTTTTTTTTAAGTGGTGATGGATATGGCAAAAACCAGCTACACTGTTCACTCAGAAAGCTCCAAAGCTTCCTTAATTGAAAAGCAGAGCTGAATGTTAGACCCAGATTTCCACATTAGCCAGGACCGAACACACAGAGACATTTCCCAACAGGAAGGGTGAATCTCTGTGTGTTGCTCAAGGCTTCTACAGTCTGGCTCCCAGTTTTGCAAGACAGGGCCCCTGTGTTTATTTACACGTGAGAGGGTGAGTCCTGTGTCTCCCAGATCACAGGGGTTAGTCTCAGAAGTGTGCTTGCTTAGGGTGTCCCTAAATCAATATGGAAGGCAGTGCTCTGTGAAGATACCACACGAGAGACTCAGGAATTCATAACTCTGTCGTCCCCAGCTGGTTGTCTCCAGGGTTTCTCCAGCATCCCGCAGGCCTCGTGGGCGTCTGTTCACCTGTCAGGGGGATCTCCAGAAAGCAGAAAAATGGCATGCCGCCGAAGAAAACACCTGAATGTTATCTTTAGTGGTTTAATCCCATTCTTTCACACTTTATTGGCTGCACATGGCCAAAGAGGATTTCTACAGTCTGGAAAACTAACTTCACTTAGACAGAGAGGTCTCAGTGATATAATTTCCGCCCTAAAGTGGATTCACTAAGGGAAGTGGTAGCAACGTAATGAAGAGGACTACTTAGCGGGGACAGAATCTGCTCGCTCAGCAGAGGCCCAGGTTCTGTTTGCTCTTGGATTCTCCTACTGCGCCAGGGCTGTTTTGAAAGGAAGAGACAACAGTACTAAGAATTTAAGGGGATATTTGCACCTGGGGCAAAGTATAAGAAACTCACTTTTAAAGGGCAGTAAATATTAGCATGACAGCGAAACTCACAGCACTGGACACATGGAAAGGTCAAATGGGCCATGTTTACTTATTCAAGGGATGTATCCCGGATTTCTTTTTTGCTTGAGTCTGATGACTTTGGCATGGACCAAATATGGGTTGACGCACAGAGAGCTCCTCTCAGTATGTAGGTTGGAGCCAGGACAGACGAAGAGACACAGAGAGACACCCAAGTCTCACCATGTGAAAGACTGAGAGGTGAGGAGGGGTGTAGGAGGAGCGGAAAGCAGTCAGCCCTAGTGACAGCCGAACTGCGAAGAAGATGGGATGGTAGGTCACGCAGCTGGTGAATGGTAGAGTGGGGGAGACACAGCTCCTTGGACTCTGCAGCCTTCCTGCTGGGTCCGCTGTGATCCTATGGAGACCTATAGGGCTTGGGTCCTCTGTCAGCAAGCTGGGTGGAAGGCAACTGTGCTTTCCCCGGGGGTGGGCTGGGCAGCAGCTGGACAGCCACCTAGCCTTTTCGGAACAGGCCAGTTCAACCATCAGATATTCAGTGGGAGAAAACTGCATAACATGGAGAGTGGGTGATAGAGCTAATATTGGTAAGTAGGAGTTCAGGGCAATGACGTGGTCAGACTGTCCACAAGAAAAGGCAGAAATGAAGACAACACAAATTAAAACTTGCTTCAGAGTGAGAGCACCTGATATCCTCTGACAACCTCTGACTTGGGTTTGGAAGGGCATATGATCCCTCAGGATAGGTACGTGGCCATGACTTTCCATGGACAAGTCCACGATCCCTCTCTGCGGCTTTGTCAGCCAGCAGCCCAAGCCTCACTTCCCATCCCACCAGGCGCCCACCTCTGCTGGCTCCTGCTATAGGAAGCACTTCTCCTCTCTGGGTGTAGTGCTTCCTGCCAGGGACCCCCAGTCCAGCTCCCTAGGGTGACAGTGGGATCGGGACTCCACTAGGATGATAAATTCACGTGACATCACAGTTCCAGAGCCTGAATGAGGACTTCGGAGTACCCAAGGGACAAAGAAACAGAAGAATCTTAAAAATTGACCTCATTTTACAAAAGAAACAAATGGAAATACCCAAAGAGGAAACAATATGGGTAAGTTTAAAGGAGATACACTAGGATAAGGATTCAGATTTTCCAGCTTCCTGACATCTTTCTGCCACCACCTACTTCCAAGATTGTCATTGGTGGGATGGACCCTTAGGTACCACACAGCTTGCTCATGTGTCAGTCAGATGGCTGAAAACATGCCCTGTGTAAATCCTACTGAGAGGGTGTTCTACCCACCTGTCACCATTGTACATCACACATGCGACGAGCAGAGTCACTGGAGACATCCTTTGCAGCCTCTCTGGCACGTGACCGGTGACCATGCTGCACACAGTCCTCAGAACCTGGAACTCAGTTGCCTGAGTATCTGTCATTGGACTGGGTCTTCTCCAAGGGTTCTCTTGGCAAATCACATTAAGATACTCCGACTTCTACCATGTCTCCTCATTTTCTCTCACTCCAATGATAACAGTAAGTAGCCTAAGAAAGCATGACCACCTTTCTTTACAGCTAAACAATACTTTGGTTGATCCTTCCTTCTAGACACACTTTTATAAACATCCTCATGTCTACTCCGTTAGGCACAGGGCTTTGTCTTTCTGATCTGTTCTTTTTTAAAAACAAAGGTGCATCTCTGTGGCCTGTACTAGACCCTTGGAAAAGTTGGACTTTTGGACTCATCTGTTTGTAATTTCTTTGTTTTTAATTGATCTTTGTGTAAGAGCAGAGGTTAGGAGAGTTAGACTTTGCCCTGTCATGTTTAAGAGTGATCTGGGCTATGACAGATCATGTTATTGATAGAAATTTCTCTATTAAGCAGCATTACCAACAGGTAATATTTAAATAGCAATGTAAAATAAAAGGTGCATTTATTTTTGATAAATTATAAAACACCTTGCTTGGGGTTGGGGTACACTTCTGTAAGCCCAGTACAGAATTCTGGGAAGTTGAAGGAGGAGGATCTCAGGGTGAAGTGCACCCCAGACAAATTAGGGAGACCCTGTCTCCAAAAAGGGGGCTGGTGATACAGCTCAGGGGAATGACTTGCAGTTCAATCCCACTGCCACGTCCCAGAAAAATATCTTTCCCTTCCCATCCTTAGCCTGCCTTCTTCCACCTGAATGCCGTTGTGGTCTCTCATACAAGAGCATTGGCTGAACAGTGCAGACAGGAAGAGGTGTGCCAGGAAAAGCAAGTGGAGGAAGAGGACAGGTTTAGTATTTATTTCTTAATACATGGATGAGTACAGACATGACTTTCTGTACATTTTGGGAAGCAGAGATACCCATTTAGGCCCATTCATGTGTTGTCAGGTAACACTTTATTCAAGAGAAAGAATTAATGACAGTATAGGTTGTGTACCAGTTAAATAGAGATGAGGAATTGTGAATTTCATAAATGCAACAAATAATTTCTATATGAATATTTCCCAACCATTACTTGGTCCATGCCTATGCTAAAAATGATCCATTCTTTTACCTGAGATTCAAATTTATTTGGGCATTCTGTCTTTTTATTTGCTGCACTTAACAATCTTGAAAATGACTCTGACTCCAGAAAGTTAAAAAAAAAGTGTCAGCATCCCTCAAAACAAAATATGCCTTTGTGGCAGTGCACAATTATGATAATGTAAACTAGCTGTCACAATTTTCCAAAAGGTTTTCTTAGACATTGCCTCTAAGCGAGATTAACTTTTCCCATTTCATGAAGGAGGAAACTGAGGCTCACAGAGATCGGGAGATTGGCTCAAGTAAAATCAGTTCTAGAGATAGAACTGAAATGAAAATTTAGCTCTTTTCATTCCCAACCCATATTTCCTGTCTGACATCAAAATAATTAATTGGATTATAAATAATCCAATCCCTCTAGTCAATGTAGTCACAATTACCAGCCCAAGGCAGTAATTATATTTTTTGGCAATGGTCATTCTGCTTCGGGTTGACAAATGGCCGGGGGACCATGCCAGTCCAACTGTGTCTAGGAGGCAGCATTCGCCATGGTGAAGGCCAGGCGTTAATATGCAAATGCTCATTCGAGTTGTTGCTGGCTGGTGACATTTTCCCACTCTTTGTAGAAAAACCTGCAACTGTTCATATAGTTTATGTGTTTCTGCTTTCCCTCCAAGTGGCAATATAATTTGGTGTCCAGTAACTACATGGTTGTTAAGAATAATTCTTTGGCAGTATTGGTTTTCTGGCCATGGGAAGATGAAAGATTTTCCTGCCACCTCCATTCACACATCTGAGGAGAAACGAAACAGGGTCGTGTGTCTGCCTGCAGTAACAGGGCTGGCATTCCCAGAAACATGGACTTTTCATTTCCAATTCAGTCCTTCTGTGAGAAGTTGGGTGATGTTATTGGAACCAGGCAAAATTGACCAGCATTTGTGGAAAGGTAATCAGCTATTTCTTGCCTACTAAATCCAGTGAATATATGTACACACTGCTCTGAGGATCTGTTCTTTTGTTTCACGGAGCAGATGTCTGCGAGGGTTTTGGCAGGCCCCACTGTGGCAGGCAGTCCGGTTTTGACAGTTACTTGCTGGAGGGAGGGCTGAAATGCAAAGTATTTCTGATCAGAATATCATATTCATCTGGATGTTAATCACCGTGTCTGGCGTGGTATAAATAATTAATTATGCAAAACCCACACAGCTGCTGCTGGAAGAAGTTAAGTGACTCGCTGTCAAAGTCTCACAGTTCTGGAAAGGAAAGGGATTTTTAGAAAAAAATATTCTCTGCAGTGTGAGTTGGGGGAGATTGATCACGTCTCTCTGTGGTCTAATGAAAAATCATTGCAGTTGAGGATGGTGTGTGAGCATGTGTGTGCGTGTGTGTGTGTGTGTGTGTGTGTCTATGTTTGCGTGTGTGTTCCATGCAAAGAAATATCTCCTAATTCGTATCAGTTGGTCTCTAAGCAGTACCTCTTTCAGGTTATGCAGCAGCTCTCTAGGAATCCAGATATCCCTTTACAGAACCACTTGAAAGTCTCAACAATCCAAACTGTCCCAAGGAATTGGACCGGTGGATCTCCCGAGGGAGGCTGGCTTTTCCTTTGTTTCAAAGATGGCACTGATACCAGCAGCTCCTCTCATCCAGCCCCAATCTGGTCAGTAACGATTATGTAAACAGCTAGTCTGCCTAGAAATGTTACTGCAGCCATTTAAAAATTTTCATCTCTACTTTAATTGGCCTAAGTGAAAATGGCTTTTTTATGTTTAAATATAACTGGATGTTTGATTGATACAGGATAAGTGCTAATCCTGTCTGATGCTTTCTGGTTTTTTTTAGGAAAATACTATAGCATATAGCAGTGATGATAGAGGAAGGAAAAAGTAACCTAAAAACCCAAGGCATTAGTACATTTATCAGATGGTTTTGCTTTGTACAAACAGTGATGTTACTGCAAAGGAAAAAATAAAAACCTGATGGATATCGTGGGGAATTTTGATACAGTCAAGGGACAAAATCTCTTTTGAGAAGACAGCTTGGGTGGAGTACAGTAAAGGCAGTTTTGGGTCATGGCCAGAGGTTCTCTCCCTTTTCACCGCTTGGCTGATGTTCTGTAACATTTCTGAGCTTTTCCTCCACTCCCATCCAGGGCTGTTAATAGAATGAAATGATATGGAAAGCCCAGATTCTGGTATGGGAAGGGCTATGCATAAAAAGATGCAAGTCCTCTCGATTTCTGTGGGGTTTGTATTAGTCACTGTACCATCAGTGGGACAAAAGACCTGCCACCCACAGTTTAAAAGAGGAGGCATTTATTTTGGCTCACGGTTTCAGAGAGCTCGGTGTGTGCCCCGAGGCAGAAGCAACATAGAGGAAGGGCCTGGCATAGGAGAGCTGCTCACCCCATAGCAGAGAGAGAAGAGAGGAACTGGGGACAGGAATGCACCCTTCCAGCTCACAGCCCACTGACCTCCTCCAGGCAGGCCCCACCTTCTATAACACACTGAGCCAGGAGCTCACCCATGGATGGATCCACTGATGAGCTCAGCGCCCCGTGATCCATCACCTTCCATATATGTGGGACTTTTGGGGACATTCTAGAGCTAGACCATAATGGAGCGCATAATCTAGGGAGAAGAATGACCACATGGGAAAATAAATTATAAAATAAGGAGAAATAACGTTAAATGGTAAGAACAAAAGAAGATAGTAGGTAGGAAGGGAATGAATGTGTAATTTTGAAGGCTAGTAAGTCTGTTTTATAGGGGAATATTTTTCTCCTTGGAGAAATAAACTTGGCCACTTAAGTAGATTTATCAATGAAAAGATGGTCCCGTTTGTGGTTAAGGCCAGGAGACAGATCTGCAGGTGGACAGGAGTACTGCACGTGAAGGCGAGGAGGAGCTGTCTGTGGTTCCTGGGGAGTGCCTGACCGGTCTCCCCATCCTTGTTTGAGCAGAAAGCAGGAGCCTGGCTCACGATATCACTGATTCTGATTCACAGAAGAGACAACATATGGTTGTGATCAGTGCGATCACTTGAAAGGGCACTTGGCTTGTTGTTGCTTGGAGAAAATTGGGGTTGTTCAAGGATGTGAAGAAATGGACCAGCATGTGTGACTCTGAGGAAACACAAGTCCACAATACCTTCACTGATTTGGTTTTCTTTCCTGTTGAACTCTGACCTAGTGATTTCCAAAGACTATAAAACCACGTTATATATAAAACAACCCATCAAATGGCCATGGAAGGTTAAAGAACATATGAGTGTGCTCTTTACATCTTTAAGCATGACACCTTTAATATAAGATTAAATAAAATGTCCTTACTGATGTTAGACCACCTTTCATTCAAGGGTGCTAAGAATTATATCGGGACCACCTAAAAATCTCTCCTTTACTGAAAACACACTTGCGTCCTCTTTGTATGGAATTATGTGGGATTTTTCCTGTGTGTTGGTAGCAGTGTTGCATGTTTGCCTGTATGTTTGACCTGAGTGTGGCTATCAGCGTGTGGATCTAAGGGTTGGGGGCCCCCTCAGTTCACAGTTCCAGTTTCTTTTCAAACCACCTTCAATGCTTCTCTTGTTCACTACACTCTAGCAGGTCCGCAGCAAGGCTCTGCTGTGAATCCCAACACAGCCAGTGAAGAGAGCTTGCCCTAGCTGCAGACCAGGCACACTGGGATGTGAAGGGTGATTGTAGCCTTACAGTGGCTCAGTCCTATAAAAACTCAGCACCAGTTGCCCTGTAGTGTTCAGACAAGGATGGCATGTGGGTAAACAGAGTACAATTTAGTATAGAATAATGCAGCTTAGAACTGGTTTCTTGTAGATGTGATGCACCATATATTTCTGTTTTTAAATTAACATAATGAATGCAGCCAGTTCAATGGAAAACAGTACCAGAGTTCTTGTAGCAATAGCAAGCTTTTCTCGCCTCTACCAGGCACAAATCTCAGCCTCTCCTTAAAAAATAGCCGCTTGTTACCATATGTTATTTTATTTCTTAATTACTTTTGGAGATCTATATATTATGCTTCTAATATTTATCTGGCTATGAACCATTAACTTCTACCTCGGAGAGATGGGAGGTTTTCTTATTTGCTCATACAGTTATCCAGTCCTGGGTACTTTTATTATTCCAAGTTCTGAGAATATAATAGTGATCAAGAGGTGCCCCACAAGCTTGC